AGAGAGAGAGAGAGAGAGAGAGAGAGAGAGAGAGAGAGAGAGAGAGAGAGTGTGTGTGTGTGTGTGTGTGTGTGTGAGAGAGAGAGAGAGAGAGAGAGAAAAGAAATAGATGCACTGAATGAAAGCCTGTCAAAGTCAACCCACCGGTTCATCCACCCACCCATCAGTCCATGCATTGGTTAGCGATCCACAAACGATACCGATGAATCTCTCATTTCTTCTCCTCTTTGAGTGTTTTGTCCTTTGTTGATTGGTGGTTTTGTCATTTTGATTGATTGTTTTTTTCTGTCATTTTGATTGCTTGTTTGTCATTCGTTGTTTGGCTGTTTGTCATGGGTTCTATCATCAAGCAGGAAGCCCAGAATAAGAGGAGCGATATGATGGAGAGTGGGTTCATCGAGGAACATTCGGCGCGTATCGGAAATATTTTTAGTGATCTTGCAAAAGCAGAGGTGAGGTGTATGGCGGACTGGAAGTCGTACCAGTGCCATCGCTGGACTGCTACTTTGATAGAGGAGAACCACTACGAGCATATAAGCGAGAAACCCCTCTTGCATGCGGTTAAGGCGTCCGCCTATTGAGCCCGACATCGCCGGTTCGAGTCCTTTCAGGACCGAACCGTCAGTTGCTGGTCATGTAAAGAACAAAGAACGTCTTGAAAAATACTTATCGAACAAAGTTGAAGACCATTTGTTTCACCCTAGGCTACCAGAGTGGCCTGGGACCACTTGCCCGGCCAGGCCAAAAAATATATATATATATTTATAATTATTTCTTTAATATTTTAAATTTTTATTTAATTTTTTGTTTCAATATTCAAAATTTCAAATTGATTAAGTTTTTTTTTTTTTTTTTTTTTTTTTTTTCACAACAAGAGTTGCTCGTTGTATTATACAAAGCCGGGAACCTTGCACGGTGTCCCTTACAGAATAGACTCAATAGAGGCAACCTTGAGACGAGCTGCCGGCAACTCCGGCCGGGTTCAAGCCCAGGTCGTCAAACCAGAATCCTCAAGAAAAGAAAAGAACAAACCATGGTCCCAGACGCCTACTCATCCGAAGGCATTGCCAAACCCTGTAAAACCGCCCTGGTCCTTGCACGGCCGGGCTGTCCGGGTAAGCAAGGTGACCCCGGCGGCGCTGCTGGTCGCCTACGTTTCACCTTCAAAAAAAAAGAAAAAAAGAAAAGAGAAAAAAAAGAGAGAGAGAGAGAAGTGAAGCACCGCAAGGTATAAATGGGGGAAGCTTACTTTGTACTACAAGGGTATACAGACCTGAGTTCAATTCCTGAGGACCTTTATGGAGGAAATTAATGATTCTGAATTACCTGAGGCCATTCACGTCAATGATCTCAGTGCAAGTAATATGAGCGAGAGCGATAAACAGAAATCCAACTTGCAAAATCAAAAAGTAGCCCAGATAGTCATGTACCAAGCAGAGAGCACAATGCACCAAGATACCATCCAGATAAGAGCAATACAATGAAGTTGAATGAACTCATATGTCAATGTCGACGCTCTCTGGCCTCACCAACACTGTATCCAATGTCGCTCCTACTGATTGGCGCCCAGCGGTCAGCCTATCTACGTCTGCCTACGTTCATGCAACCAGATCACATCGAAGTTGAAGACCAATGTACGTGACGACCGCCAGCATACACCAGATACGTTCTCTCTCCTCCGCTCATCACACCTTGGTGACTCCCCTCTGTTTGCGCCTCCTACCTGAAGACCACCATTGCCATCACCTGCTACCCGCACGCGCAGCCCGGCTATGGTCGCTGTGCGCCTGCTGCCACCGCAGCACCCCTCTCACCTCCTAGCGCCCTCGTGCGCCCTTGCCAGCAGCGCTAGCGCAGCTGCTTGTGCGACAACACAGCAGTGTGGCCGCATTGCCTGCACAGGCCATAATGCCGTGCCCCTGGGATCTCACTTTCCTATATGGAAAGTGTGCCCTCGCCGCTGGCTGTCCTGGGCCTGGCGTGTAGGGGCCCAGTAGCTTCGAGTTGGCCGAAAGTGTCTGCGCCCAGGCCCACTTTCAGATACTGGCCTGGGCCTCGTGCAGTTAGGCACGTCCAGGTAGCCCTCCAGGCTCCAAATGTTTGCCGCATTCTGATTGGCTCGTGGTGGTTGTGTGATGACAATGCTGCATTCTCATTGGTCTGCGGCCACTGTGTGATTTGTCGGCCTCCCACTGCGTGTGCCCAGGGCACAACCGCCTGAGCCCTGGGCTCAATTGTACACCGCAGCTGTTGCCACAGAAGGCTCACGTCGCCCTCCAGGCTCCAAGTGTTTGCCGCATTCTCATTGGCTTGTGGTGGTTGTGTGGCGACAATGATGTGTTGGCCTCCCACTGCGTGTGCTCAGTGCGCAACCGCCTGAGCCCTGGGCTCAACTGTACACCGCAGCTGTTGCTTCTGGAAGAAGCCACAGAAGGCTCACGTTGCTCTGTAGCCAACTGGCGTGATGCCACTGTCTGATACTCCACATACGAAAAATGTTCAAAAATAGGGCTCTCGTGGATGTACAGGCCCGCCTTCACTTAGGGCGGGCACAGGACTTGCTTGGGGCCGCAGCCTAGAACATTTGCATGCCCAGGAGGGGCCTTCCGAGGGCTCATTCCTCGCATCAGGGCCATTGCCTTTTTTTTTTTTTTTTTAAAGGSGGGGGGGGGGGGGAACCCGGGAAAGCATATCAATGGGTGAAGCTCACTCGTTACACCACCAGTACACTGCCCCAGCCTTGCAGAAAGTTTTTGTCGCCACAAAACCAAAACTCGGAAGGGCCACGCGGCGCTGGGCGCTTCTGAAGAAAAAAAAAAGCGGTGGCCTCCAAATTGGTGCGGGTTTCATGCTGACACCCGCGGGTCGATGTATGGTGTACTGGTGCTTTAAGGCAGGTCTAATTTTATATTAGATGGTTGAAGCTCACTCATACTAATGGGGGGAAGCAGAGGTGAGGTATAACCGTATAACCTTTAGAGTGCTATAAAGGGTAATCCTTCTAAGCCCAACCAATTCAATTACCTGTCAAATCTGGACAGGATGGCCTTTCAGGCCTTTTTTTCATTGTCATTCATTATGATATTAGGGGGAACCCCGTAGCAGCCGCATCCGTGCTCAAGCCTCCAATGAGGGAACATGCGGGAGCTGCACCCACGAGCAGGTGCGATACCTGCTACATCAGGTGGGCGATACCAGTCAGGGGTCAGCTGGTAGCATCAGGACCGAGCTTCTTCGATGGCCAGTCGCTGTGCCTCCCCTCCGGTCCCCTCCCCCTATGAACATCAGCAGTCTCTGCTCAATGCCACTCGGGGGGACGATACCTGCTACATCAGGTGGGCGATACCAGTCAGGGGTCAGCTGGTAGCATCAGGACCGAGCTTCTTCGATGGACAGTCGTTGTGCCTCCCCTCCGGTCCCCTCCCCCTATGAACATCAGCAGTCTCTGCTCAATGCCACTCGGGGGGACCAATGGCATATCTCTAGGTGGCGGAGGCCAAGCTTGCCCAGGATGGTACATGAGGCAGATGGGAATTGAACCCAAGACCTTTTGAATGCCACTTGCGTGCCTCACCAACTGAGCTAGGCTGCTGGATCTCTAACGTGAACGTTGACCCGCCATGTGAGTCTTTGCCATGTGAGTCTTTGGGGACATCCGATAAAATTGGAACGATACAGAGAGAGAAGATTAGCACTGTCCCTGCGCTCCCAGGGATGACATGCATAAATAGAGACATGACTATTGTGTAAGATGATTCAACCACCGACAGCAAATACCTTCTCTCCCCCCCCCCCCCCCCCCCCCCCCCCCGACAAGCCCCATCTATTCTGGGGGCAATAGTCCAGTTACTTACCACCGGAACGCACGAGTCTCAGTACAGGTAGCAAAGAAGACGAGCACGGCCCGCTACCCTTGTCGCCCTGGACGTGATGCAGGGGGGCTGTGGGGGCTGCACGGAGTCACATGCCTGCACCCACCCTCGGCTCGCATAATGGCCAGGAAACCTGGATTCGGTACCCAGGAACACATTATGCAGGTCCCGGGTGGGGCAGGTAAGGGGCCCCCGACAGCCCCGCCAGTCGCTGGGCCGCCCTCACACACGCCAATTGTCACCCTTCCCAACCGTCTTCCTCCCCATGCATGCAATGTTTAATGAATTTCTGTTAGTTGAGGGAGAGCACGACTTCGAAATAATTGTTTTGTATTTTGACTATGCGTGATATTGATTGCTTCATTCATGCAACTATAAACGAGTTAGAAAAAAAAAACAATATTTCATTTGTAAGACTACGAACGAGTTGTAGAAGTCAATATTTCGCTGAGTGGTTATTGTCACTCGTCAAATCATAATCAATCAATCAATCATCATTTTTTTTTAATTTTTTTTTTAATCAATCAATCATGATCATTGTCGTCATGATCATCATTTGCAATAACCCATGCCATATGTCTCGTGGAATTCTGAGGGCCGACCTGGCCGCCCTCAGCCAGGCCAAAAACGAGGTAGGGGACCCCACACAGGGATTCAGGGCCTGGGCGTGCCACAGTTGACTTTTGTCAACTGTCGGGACCCCAACAGTCAAAGTCCAAAGGTATCCAGTCCAGGCCACAGGTCAAGCACACACACTTGTTTGCATGCAGGTACCCAGACAGCATTCAGTCCAAGGGGGAATTCTGCAACTGTAAAATCAAGGCCTTCGGCTGTGACTCAATCTGGACGACTGAGGGGAGGAGACTCGAGGCCAGAGAGCCTCGCCAAACACTACTTAAAGTGGGTCTTCGAGATGGTCAGCATTCAGTCTTGCTATGCTGGTTCAACGCTGGCTTGACTTTGACTTGACGCTGGCATTATGCTAGCGCGACGCTGGCTGGACGCTGGCTGTGCATCAGAGCTGCGGATGACGACACGAGGGAGAGGCGACGCTGGCATTGTGCGCCAGGCATGCTGACGTGGCGCTGCCTCTGGTTTATGTGGCGCTGCCTATGGTCTACGTGGCATGCTGACGTGGCGCTGCCTCTGGTACATGTGGCACTNTATGGTCTATGTGGCATGCTGACGTGGCGCTGCCTCTGGTTTATGTGGCGCTGCCTATGGTCTACGTGGCATGCTGACGTGGCGCTGCCTCTGGTTTATGTGGTGCTGCCTATGGTCCACGTGGCATGCTGACGTGGCGCTGCCTCTGGTACATGTGGCGCTGTTTCTGGTCTACGTGGCGCTGTTCTTGGTCTTCATTGATGATGTGGCATATGCCACCTGTCTTTGCTGCTGACGTGGCATTGTCCACGCTGTCTACATGAGGTGACTGGTTGCGAAGAAGAGGAAGATCAGGACTGTGGAGGGATTGTGACTACGTACCTGGTTGTCTTCATATCGACATTGCTCCAGAGCTGATGAGGAACTAAATAGTTGTGCCCTGTGGCACCTTGAGGATATTTCAGATACTCGTTCAGACTGTTGATTATTAAAGTGGTGCTGGAGGAGGGAGACCGAAGCAGGAGTGGGCATTGCATTTTTCCTCTCCTTTGTCTAATCTCCCTCCTCTCTTCTTCGTCTGTGTATGTTTATCTCGTCTCATTCTGTCTGGACACGATCTTGATTATTGGTACTCATCAGCTGTTGATATTTATCTGGACTTGCATTGTTGACAACTGTGTTCACGATCTGGGTTCATTACACATTGTTCTGTTCTTGTTATATGCTGTGGCTGATTGCCATCACCCGGTCGAAGCACAGATCGTTCGCCACCTCGGGACCTGCCAAATCCTCTGGGACTTCTTCAGTTCAATATACGGAGTTACCTTAAAACCCAATTTGACAGAAAATGTTGTGCTGGACCCGCCAGATGACGATTGGTCAGCGGCGGCAGTAAGTTTTTCAGAAGATCAGCCAGTCTGGCTTTTGCAAGCTGATGAAGTCTTGCCAGGCCTTGCTGAGGTAAGAACTTAGAAGTTAAAACTTAAAAGTTTTAACTTTTTTAAAGTTTTTTTTGAAGTAATCCACCGGGAAGTGTGAAGTGTGCTTGCTATACGGTAACCGGTGGACCAATCGCCCACTTTGCAACGAAGAAGCGAATCTGTTGTTTCAGAACTTATAACAACTCTGCTGCCCGCGTTTTTCATACCCTTTTTTTTTTTTTTTTTTTTTTTTTTTTTTTTTTTTTTTTGAAAGGGGCGACGGCTTTGAGATATCGTCATTGAGCTGACCAGCCCCATGCAATTTAGAAATATTGTCTCATTCATCTGGTCCCATCGTGATGTGGATTTGAATTTGGGTCTGCAATTCAACAGTTCTCAGGTGTACCAGCTGAGCTAGGCTCAATTGATGCTGTCAGAGTTGTCAAGAGGCTCTGCTGTCGAGGTGTTGAAACGACCGTCGAAAGTGTTAGTACGTGACATCTGAGTTAGAGAAACTGAGAATTGCTGCCGAGATATCTGGTTCGTGGACTGAAATGTATCTGACTGCCATTACGGCTTGATGCATTGCTGAGACAGTTACAAGCATGTGCCATTATAGACCTTGATGCATCTGACCATACGCATGTCCAAAGACAGTCAAAAAATTCCTAGTGCGAGTATGCCCTGAGTGAGCGAGCGAGTGAATTGAGTAGAACGAGTGATTGAGGTTGTCTGCCTACCAACTTGCCCAGCTCACTTGGTACACCCCCCCTGAACTGAACTGTTGAAATACAGACCAGATGCGGAGTTCGAACTCCACTGGAAGCAGATGAGTGAAGTACTGCAATTCTAAGTTACCTAGGGCTACAGTCTTCCCCCGAATACAACGCACGGTCATTATAGCTGAATTTGGTGTATCTTTCAGTCTAAATTCAGCTATAATGACCGTGCGTTGTATTCGGGGGAAGACTGTAGTCAGTTAGATGATTATATCTCAAGGCCGTCGCCCTTTTAAAAGTTAAAAAAAAAAAGAGAGATTGGGTCTGCCTAACAGCTGAAGGGCGCATGCATGTAACTGTCTACAATCTTTAGGGGCTAACGCCGTTCCCACATTCCCGATCCCCTCCCCCCCCCCCACACACACACACACAAAAGAAAACAAAGGTGAACGAGTGAGGCTGGGGCTCGGAGGAATTTTGTGTGTCAATGTGATGCATTTGAGGGGGAAACAAAAAAGGAAGAAAGAAACGTGGTGCGCTGAAATGTGCTGTCGGGGGAAGGAGGGTTAAGGGTTTAGGGCGGTGCTAGGGAGTGCGTGGTGCAGCTGAGTATATGTTGCCTCACCATTGCTTCACTGGTCTCTTGGAGTGATACTGATGGAACTGATGGAACTTATGGAACTGGTCTTAATAATGGCCAGGTTCATCGTTTGTTAACATTAACATAGCACAGGTTGTACTGATGGAATTGATGGAACTTATGGGGAACTGATCCTGTTAGCGGCCTGGCAAGTGATCTTATTAATGACCAGGTTCATCCTTTGTTAGGACTAAAACGTCCAATCATTGGGGCTGTATCTGGACTGAAAGTTGCCACAGATACAGCCTATAATGACCGGGCGTTCTTTTCCGGTGAAGACCGTAGTGATACTGATGCATTCGACCTTCTGGAATCGATGGAACTTTTTGAACCGAACTGATGCAGTGGGGTATACTTTTTTTTTTTTTTTTTTTTTTTTTTTTGGACCATATCTCGATTTATGCGTGTCATCCTTGCACAGGGGCCATGCTAATCTTCCTTCTCTGTATCGTTCCAATTTTAAAGGATGTTTTGAAGGACTATGTGGGGTATACTTTGCGAGCATAAACAAGGTTTCCTTGCCTTTTCTTCTCTCCTTTATCTCCTTTACAGAACCTTGCCAGAGCGTTGTACGTGGCCGACCTTATCCGATCAGTTGCGAGAGTTTTGTTCCCCTTCGAAGTGCCTGAGGCCGAAGATATGGTCCCCACTTCTCGCACGTTGTCAATGACCAGCAAGTTCCAGGTTGGAAGCCGGACACCAACGCCAGGATCGTCGAAAAAGAAGGGTGATGGCTCGCGGAAGTCCTCAAAGCCAGGGACAGGAAGTGGACAGGATTCCCCCGCTGGTGGCAGAACTCCCAAAGGCGCAACTACGCCGAGGGGTTCAAAGACGCCCAAGGGTGCAAGGACGCCCAAGGGGGGTGCAAGGACGCCCAAGGGTGCGAGGACGCCCAAAGGGGGTGCGAGGACGCCCAGAGGACTCAGAAAGGAAGCGCTGAGCGGCAGGAACTCGCCTACTAATGCGAATCTCAGATCGAGGGTAGCGACTGCCAGTGGCATGGACAAGAAAGGCAAAGACGCAAAAGGCGGCGGTGGCAAACGACGCACAGGCTCTGATAAGAAAAAGAGGGAAGGGATACCATCCGGCGGACTGAAGGAAATCATCGGTGCGGAAGAAGACAACGAGGAGGATGAATCGGCTCTCACAGAGGAGCAAATCAGACAGAAGGCATTCAAGGTCGCCGCCAAGAAGGAGTTGATCGAGATATTCATCGAGGAAGATCAGGCGCTGCGGCTGCGATTGAGTTTAGTCGGTGCGTAGTACTGTGTGCCAATCCCTACGCCCCCAACAACTCCATACGTAAAACTTTGCTCAGCCTGTTAAAAGCATCAACTGAACTGTAAGGAAGGAGAGGGGAGAAGAGGAAGTAGCTACAGTAGGGAAGGAGAGCGGAGTAGAGAGAGTAGCCGAGCATAGCGGGGGCCCTGTGTGACTGATCTTGATTCAGGAAGATCAGGTGCTCCAGGCACAATTGGATTTTATCGCTACCCATCACACCGATCGGTGACACTCACTTTGCTATGAACCTGGCCATTATTAAGACCAGTTCCATAAAACCTGCCCATGCCGAAAACCTCTCCCAGAAAAGCATCAAGTGAATTGCAGGGACGGAGAGGGGAGAACATACCTCCATTCCCAAAACCTCTCCTGCAAGAGCATCATGTGAACTATAGGTAAGAGAGAGAGAGAGAGAGAGAGAGAGAGAGAGAGAGAGAGAGAGATTGAGAGATTAGCTGAGAATGAGGCTCATGTGACGGTCTGCTACGCTTGAATGTTCTTTGGCCTGAAGCAATGATGTGCAGCGTATGCTTGCTCATAGTACTTGTTTTAACCCCTGCATGCCTGTTGAATTGATTGATGCTGAAGGTCATATGACTGCCCCCATAGTACCCCTTATTGCTTCTTGCTGTTGGGTGGAGAGGTGGCACTGTGAGCAATTCCAGGATTTGTCGACAAGAGCTGTTCTTCGAAGTCAGCGGGTGTTTCGAAAGTCTGTGTGGCCAAAGAGGAAGAATGGGCGCCATTGCTTACAGCCAATTCACGCGTTGGAAAGGGTGCCATGGCTTCCATACCCTGGCCAGGAGGCCCAAGCCAGTTATCTCCAACGCGCAGCCTTTCGAATGAAGTCTGACATTTTTCGGAAAAAGCCTTCATTCTACAGGCTGTGTGGCCAGCCCCAAATTTGCGACTCCGACCCCTAATGAGTTCCGGCTGGCGACCGGACGAAACGACGCGACGTAGGGTCGCGCCATTACTGGCTTGGCTATTTTTGAGTCGGGCGACAGGATACTGGCGACGGTCAGGTTCTGCCCGTCGCTATTGCACGAAGACCAGTTTGATGATGGGCTGTACTTTAGAGTAATTACTTTTGACCCATCTGGGTCGCGTTCGGGAGAATTACGGTGTCATCTTCTTCCTGCTGTTTGATGCTCTCGTTTTCTTTCCCTCTGTCGAATGCGCTCTGTGTTGCTCGATGGTTGGTAGTCTTTCCTCTTGAGTAAGTGTCGTGGTATGCACACTTATGAACAGTCCTTTTGAATGAGCATGTCATTATTGCTGATTGTGATTAAACAATCCAGCCCCAAAGCCTTCCAAAGTAGTTCTACGAACCAAATTGCCAAAACTCTGTTTTTTCACATGGAAATAGTTTAATAGCTAGGCTGTTTCCCGGGCTCCCGGGCACCCAACTTGTGTCCGGTTACACGCCCGGGTGCCCAGCCGGGCATGACCCCCGGGCAGGGTTCCGGGCAGCCCCAGCGCAAAAAAAAAAAAGGCAAAAAAAGAAAAAAACGAAAGTAAATCCAGAAAAAAATATGTTGCGTAGAATTGCAATACAAAACAACTTTTGGCTGAGGGTCACATCAGAATTCCTCACCGAATCTGAGATAAAAAAGAAAATAACAAAATCACACTAAGGCACCCCCCTTAAACCCCCTTAGCCCCTTTAAAACAAATTTATACCCCCCTTCCTCCCCTTATATATATATATGACGATATATATATATATGTGGCGAGCCTTGCACGTGAGAGGCACAGTGGAGGTGGAGTTCAAAGAAGAAGGGGAAATTTAATGGTTTCAATCTGCCTTTGTTTTTTCTTTTTGTTTTTATTTTTATTTTTGCATGTTATCACTGTGCCCGTTTTTTGCTTTTATTCTTTGTTCCGCAAAGTGCGCTCTTTTAGTTTGTAGT